CATACCATAAGCAGGTTTACAAGGAGCATCACCTTGGCAGCACAGCCTCCATGAACCCATCAGGCCAAACTTTTCAATAACAACAACTTAAATAAAAGTGACTAGCTTGTCAGAGGCATCCAGCACATCTGCTTCCAACTAAATTAGCACATCAGGAAATTAGGATATAGTTATTTTAGCGCTTATATATAGGTTAGAAATGGACTTCATATTTCAAAGTTGTGAAATATGTCAACAAAAGCATTATAAAAGCATTATAAAAACAAAAGCTTAATCAAAATGCAATATTGTCCTTAAAGCAGCATTCAAAAGAGGTACTGTAGTTTTCTTCCCCGAGTGACAGGCTATCATGGTTTAACCCCAGCCATCAACCAAATTGATGCTGCTCACTCATTCCCCCCCCCCCCCCCAGCAGGATCAAGGAGAGAATTGGAAAGGTAAAAGTGAGAAAACTCATGGGTTGAGATAAACTCAGTTTAAGAGGAAAGGCAAAAGCTGTGCACACAAGCAAAACAAAACAATGACATTAATTCACTGTTTCCATGGGCAGGCAGGTGTTCAGGCATCTCCAGGACAGCAGGGCTCCATCATACAGAACAGTGACTTGAAAAGACAAGAATCATCACTCCAAACATCCCTCTCTTCCTCCTTCTTCCCCTCTTTTTATATACTGATCATGGTGTCATATAGTCTGGAATAACCCTTTGGTCTGGTGGGGTTGGCTGTCCTGGCTCCCAATCTCCCGTGCATCCATAGTCTGCTCATCAGCAGGCAGTAGGAAAAGCAGAAAAGGCTTTGGCTCTGCACAAGCCCTGCTCAGCAATACCAAAATCATTTATCCCTGTTCAATACAAAACCAAAGCAAGCCCCATACCAGCTCCTGTGAAGAAAGTTAACCCCTCCCCAGATAAACCAGCACAAAGGCACATGAAAAGCTCCAGAATAAGGACTCAGAAAGATCCTACAGTGAACTGTATTTTGATCTCCAGCACATTTTCCACCTCAAACTGCCAGTCTGTTTAAGGATGATAACTCTGCTTTTGAGACCGGATGAGAGCACATCTGACACAGACCTGTGCAAGCAAGTAAATATAATACTCCAAAAACATTTATCCTATCTAACTTTAGACTCCTAAAATGTAGTTGTGTATGTTTCAAACACTAATTGAGATTCTTATTAAGTAGTGGGGAGGAACACTTTTAAGTCATGTTACAGCTGATCTAGGTTATATGTCTCGCTCTGGATAACATTTATCAGGCCTTAGAAATGTTGCTTTAGCACAGGGAGATTGGAGACATCTCTTTATTACCTGTATGTCTAAGTTGTACAGACCTAAGGTTATCAGAAAGAAGCCCAGCTGTCACTGCAAAATGCTGATTAGGAATGGAAATATTCCTTATGAACACCACTGCCCTGTGTCACTGTACACAGTGACAAATAAAGGCAAAGGAAGACTTTGATATTTAGCCAGGAACGTACATTGGCAGTGCTGCTAACATCACACCTGAGAGTCAATAGCAGTGAAGCAAGGTCAGAAAGGAGCTGTAGGCAACAGAGCAACAAGAGCTGGATGTGGCTCTTCAGTTTCTGCTCCGGGGTTAGTACCTCACACTCAGCATGGAGGGAGGTACTGTGCTACACAGCTACACCAGCACGGTGCACTAACTCCACTGCACTGGGCTGTCAGGCCCAAGCACTCCTGTTATTGATTGGCTCAAATTATATCAATGCACCACTCTCTTGCACTTATTAAACAAGTGCTTTACCTAAAGCATAGTCTGTGTCTTTTACAGCAATGCTAAGTGTGACTCCATCACTAAACTTTCAGTTGGATACTGTATCCTTGGTACTTTAATAAGTAATAATTATTCAATGGATTTTAAAGGAGACCATCTTTAAACCAGATGGATACATTTCATAAAAATGGCAAGACACTAGAACAGATTTTTGTTTTCCATACATTGAAAGCCATGTAAAAAAGGTTCAGCTTCTGTACTCACTATGTCAAGCAAGAACAAGGAAATAGTCAAAAAGGATTTCAAGTTTCAATTCTCAGTGGAAGATCTGAATAAAGAGGTTCAGTTTAGGTATTTCTCCACTTTTGGCCAAGTTTGAGCCCCTGTCTCTCTACAAAAACACACCCCTACCAGTAGATACACTGCTGAGTGGGCCTGATTCAAATAGATACAAGTTCAAAACATCTGTCTCAATTGCCACTACTGGTACCACCTGATGAGGATGCCCAAAGTGTTTTCTGCTTAACAGAAGGCACATGGAATTGATTCCTCTCTCACACCAATGTTATCCATGACACAGTCTAATGAAGTCAGAGTTAGAATTGCTTTGAATCTACACTAGCATGCATGACAGAACACTATGACTGTGTGCATCTCTCAGAGGGGCGTTTTTTTCATTTCTTTTTTTCTTATTTCTAATGTTCCTCTGGGAGATCTCATTGCCAGTTTCAACAAAGGGCATCATCTCTTTGCAGATGATATCCAACTCTACAACTCTGTCAAGTCAGTCTCTGATCCCCTTCTTCCCACCTGTCTTCAACATGTCAATCAACAGATGGCTACACCATCACTAAGGAATGCTTCAAAGGCATTCAAAATGCTTTAAAAGTCCTCTTTGTTCCATGTCTCTTGCTCTGCTATCAGTCTTCTTAATTCAGCCCTTCAGTTCTCCGCCAAAAATCTTGCTGCTATCCATAACACAGGGTTTTAAATTTCTTTTCTCTACTTAAAAGCTACTTCCATATTATATACAGATTTATCCACACTTTGACATCTGCTTCCACTGTGTTATGTTGAATGTTCTACCCCAGTTTAAAAAATGCCATTTTGTCCACTGTGGCTTTGCAAAATCATATTTTCTAACTTCACCAACCAATGGGCAGGAAACAGAATACTACCCCACTTCAAAAAGTGGAGACTCCCTCAAGAACTTTCAATGTCTTCTTACATGCAGAATCTCATTTTAAGACTTGTGAAAATATATTTCAGTGTTTACAGCTGGAAGCTAAAGCCTTCTCATATACTCAAAAGAATAATACTGGGTTTTGCCAGATGACTGTTTTTATCAAAATATCATTCTGGAATTACCTAAATGTAATTGTGTTGGACTGTACCAGATTTCTCTCACAGCATCTTGGCTTTTGCTTCTTCTAAGCCCTTTCTTATCTCTGTGTCCTCTCTACAAGCTTCCAAAAATGAGAAAGCAAGCCCGTTGCCTCACTTACCCTATTTTACTCTTGCCTACATTTTCAAGCCCTCCCTCCAAACCACTGTATCATCTTCAGTACAGCCCCATTTCCAGACCATTAAGGTTCCAACAATTTGTAATATTAACCTGTCATAAATCTGGAGTGTCTCTGTTGGTAAAGGAATTGGCAGAATGTAAAATGGATTAACAAAAGTGAAGCAGAGCCACATGAGGAAAAATCAGTGCAGTGGAAGTAGGGAATCTGATGTAAAAATACCAATGTGTCGCTGATGTAAAAAATACCAAAGAAAAAAAACTATATGGGCCAATGGTCAACCACCTAAACCCCACTGATATATGCACCCATGGAGCCTCAAAGGGGTGGCAGCCCTGAAAGCTGACAAGCACAAAATCCCAGTGTATGTTTTCCAGTACAAAAAAGGGGCTGCAAACAGACTAGCACACATCGTTCTCTTAGTAAGGGGATTATCCTTCTATTTGTTACTGCCTCCACCTCCTCTTTCATCCTATCATTTGCAATCCCATAACACTAGTGATAACCATAGCCATTGTGTAGAAAGAGCATTTAGTGTTCTCCTTTTAACAGCATTTAGCAGATGGAACCAGCTCACTTTGACAGAACCACAGAATGGGTAAATTGTGTGGAAGGGATTACAGTGGGTCATCTGATCCAACCTCTCTGCTGAGGCAGGCTCATCCTAGAGCACATGGCACAGAAGTGCATCCAGAGAGTGTTCTTGTACATCTTCCACGAGGGGGACTCTACAACCTCTCTGGGCAATCTGGGCAATCTGTTCCAGTGTGTGGTCACCTGCACAGTAAAGACATTCTTGCTCATATTTTCAGGTGGAGCTTCCTGTGCATCAGTTACTGGCGCTTGCCTCATGTCCTAGTGGTTGGCACCACCAAGAAGTGTCTGGACCTACCCTCTCCAGATATTTATACACATTAATAAGGTCCCCTCCTAGTCATTTCTTCTCAAGGCTGAACAGGCCCAGCTCCCTCTGCCTTTCCTCTTAACAGAGATGCTCCTGTCACCTTACTCTCTTTGTCACCCTCTGCTGGACCCTCTCCAGGAGTCTCTTGGGCCGGGGAGCCCACAACTGGACGCTCCAGATGGGACTTCACCAGGGCTGAGTAGAGTGGCAGGACCACCTCCCTCGACCTGCTGGCAATGCTCCTCCTTGTGCATCCCTGGACAGCAGCGGCCTTGTCCCCAAGGACACACTGCTGGCTCAGGGACAGCTCGCTGTCCACCAGGACATCCAGGTCCTTCTCGGCAGTGCTGCTCCCCCGCAGGTCAGCCCCAGCCTGTGCTGGTGCCAGGGTTGTTCCTTCCCAGGTGCAGGGAGGAATTTGCTTTTGTTGAATTCCGGACAGTTCTTCCCTGACCCTCTCTTCAAGCCGTCGAGAGCTTTCCGAAGGGCTGCACAGCCCTCTGGGGTATCGGCCACTCCTCCCGGCTTAGCGCCATCAGCAAACTTGCTGAGGAAATACTCTGCCCCTTCATCCCTTTGCCAGCTCCTCGCAGACAACCAGTGAGGAGCAGCCCGTCAGAGGCCGAGACCTTGTCAGAGCTCTAAGTTGAGCTCATACGGCGGCGGTGGCGGTGGCTCGGTCACGGCAGAGCAGAGCAGGGCACCGCCGGCCCGGCGGCCCCGTCTGGCCCGTCGCCATGGCGACCAGCGGCCGCGTCCCGCGGGGCGGAAGGGCCGCGCTCTCGCGAGATGGCGGCGGGCGGGCCGGGCCGGGCCGGAAGGAGGCGCGCGTTTGAAGGCGGCGGCGGCGGGAAGGGGCCGTGGCGGAGGCGGAACGGGGCCGGTGAGCGTGGCTGGCTGGGGCTGTGGAGTCACGGCGCTCCTGAGCTGCTGCTGCGGGCTCAGTGCGGGGCCCGGCCGAGCGGAGCGAGCTGTGGCCGCAGCGCCGGCTCCCCGCGCCGGGGCGGTGCCGGGCTAGCCCCTGCCCAGGACCGTTCCTTCCCTGGCGGGTGGCGCTTGAGGGTGCCTCAGCGCAGCCGCCGGCGCCGTGACGGAGTTGAGCTTAAAAAGTAGGGAGACGAGTTTTCTTCACTTTTAGAAACAGAATAACTGAACTGCGTAGTTATCGAGGTTCGGAAAGTTTAGGCGGTGCACTTTTAAAAGGCTTCTCGTTCTGCCGTGGGACGAGGATGAGCTTTAGGTTTTAGTAGAATGTTCGCTTGCCAGGTGTTATTCGGTTCCAAACTGAAGTGCTTGTTTTAAGGCTTGTTCAGCCAAGTATTTGTATATAGAATCATTTACGTTTGAAGAGACGTCTAAGATCATCAATCATGTATCTTTTATTATGTGATTTTGTATATAGATTAAATTTTGTGAAGGGCTTTAGAAAAAAAGGACAGACGGAGGAAGTATAGTTTTTTATTTGAACTGTACCAAATCATGAAGTAATTGGATGCTGAAAATTTTTATAGTAAATTTTGTTCTGTTCTCAGTGTTTCATTCCAATCCTCTGTCTCTCTAACACACACAAAAAAAACCAAAAAACAAACAAAAAAAAAAACCACAAAAAAACCCCCTGAAAAACTAAAAAACACCAAAAACCTGGGGTTTTTTTAGGTGAGTAACTGAACCTGAAATCATACTTTCGCAGTTCTTGAGTTACATTGGATTTTATATTGGTTTTGAAAAGCTGCAAAAGTGAATGTCAAATAAGAGGTTTTAAAATATCAAATGGCAAGGCTTTGGGAATCCCTCACATGGGGGGATGCAAGATGTGGAATCCATATCACAACCTCAGAATGAAAATTGAGCCTTCAGTCTTAGTTCTAAATCTCTTGACTGAAAGACTTGCTTATTAAATCTTATTTGTTTTACCACCAGGGTTTAGCATAAACTGCTTAGATATTTACGTCTTAGTATGTTCAATTATAAGTATTTTCAAGTCTTGGTTTCCATAATACATGTGTTTTTAACACATATTCTTAGAGGATATTTGTAATATTTGTTAGCTATCTTTTTGAAAAAGTCCAGGCACAATTTCTTGTTCTCCAGTCTCCACCATTTACACAGTATGCTTTTAAAATAAGTTATCCATTATTTAAAAGAAATTATTGGAATTGACTCTGACTGATTTATGGCTTACACTTATAAAATGTTGTTGAAGTCACATGTTAAAATATAATTCTCAGCTTCTGTTGGTATCTTGAGGGAATCAATATTAACACTTTGTTAAATAATGCCTGTGAAACACTGAAAGGTGAATGGAATATTTATATGATTGTCAAATATTTACTTTGAATTTGAACCAACAAAACAGGGAAACTGGCAGAAAATGTCACCTGGAAAAGTTCTTCAACCTGCAGTGGAAATGAAGGTGGATGAACTCTTTCTGTGCTGGTTGAGTCAGCCTGCCACTCAGCTAATACTAAAGGACTGCTTGAGAAGAATCAAGAATAAGGAGAAAACAGAGTTTGGTAACACAGATTCAGGAAACAGTAGAAATAAGAACTTCGCCAGTAAAAATTCCAATTCCAAGCAGTGCATATTAGGAGATACCAGATTGCCTTTGTTGTCTTTGAGTCCTCCTCAGCTTTCTACTGCTCTTCCATTGGCAACTCCAGCTAGCTCAAGGCACATTTCTAATGTTAGAGCAACACATCGATCCTCAGGGACCAAAGAAGTAAGTTTGCTTCTTTTCAGATTTATTTGTTTAAATGGAACTGACTTTTGTGTTTGTGGTATTGGCAAATTATGTAAGTAAATAGTTTCCCCAGAGGAGCTATCAGGAGTGAAGTGAAGCAGCTGCACTGAACCTAAAATACCAATGTTTGTGTATTATTAGTGGATAGGTGGCCTGAGCTTCCATAAGACTATCTTGGGTCCTTGCCATCTAATTGTGGATAAATTTAAGTCCTTGTGTTTGTGTTCCTTTTATAACTTACTGCCTTGACTGCAAATATTCCTTTGTCTAATGATACCAGGCACTGTTGTTAGTACAAGACTCAAATTTGGCTTCACTGGATCTGCATATTAACAAAGTAATTGTTTTGGTACTGCATGGTACACTCAGCACTTCCTTCCTAATGAGCTCTTTATTTGTAACAGACAATGCCCTCTATGCAAGGATGGCAACCCTGCCCCCAACCTGAAACCTTCTTTTTAAAATTGCAATTCAGTTCAAAATCTAGTTTCTAGCTCTTTTCATGAAGAAAAACCAAACTGGATAGAAAATTTTGTCATGACTGACAAAATTAAGTGTTGCTTATGTATTATCAACAACCCTAGAATCATAGAATTACAGAATGGTTTGGACTACAAGGGACCTTCAAGACCCTCTGGTTCCAGCTACCCTGCCATGGACAGGGACATCTTCCATTAGATCACATTGCACAAAGCCCCATCCAGCCAGGCTTTGAGCACTCCCAGGATGGAAGATGCACAGCTTCTCTGGACAGCCTGTTTCAGTAAAGAATTTCAATAATTTCTTCATAATATTTGATCTAAACCTACCCTGGGTTTAGTTTAGATTCAAGCCCTTTTAGTTATGTTTAGTTTAAAACCCTTTCCCCTTGTCCTGTCACAACATGCCCCTGTAAGTACTGGAAGGCTGCTCTAAGTTCTCCCCAGAGCCTTCTCTTCTCCACATGGAGCAACCTCAACTCTCTCAGCCTCTCTTCTTTGGCAAGGTACTGCAGCCCTGTGATCATCTTTGTGACCTTCCTCTGGACTTGCTCCAACAGATCTACATCCTTCTTTTGCTGAGCACCCCAGAGGTGGGCACAGCACTCCAGCTGGGCTCTCACCAGAGCAGAGCAGAGGGGCAGAATCACCCACCTTGCCCTGCTGGCTGGCTGATTTTGATGCAGCCCAGGATGTTTGGCTTTCTGAGCTGCAAGTGCACATTGCTGGGTCATGCTGAGCTTTTCATCCAGCAACATCCCCAAGTCCTCCACCCCAGGGCTCCTCTCAGTCTGTTCCCCCCCCAGTCTGTTTTTGGCTTGGGAGTTCCTTGTCCCAGATGCAGGGCCTTCCACTTGACCTTGCTGAACTTCATGACATTCATAAAGACTTCAAAGAGTTTTTATGCTGTTTGTGCTATAGGACTATAAATTCATACATTTTAATAGTACTGGAAAATTTTAAGAGGTTGTAATTCCCAATATCTCTATATACTTTGGTATCTAACTTATTGCAGTATCCAAACCTGGTATCTCAGGGAAGCCTGCTCAGTTGGGTAAGGGTAGAGAGGATAAAGCTGGGATGTTTAAGAAGATCAGTTATTTATTGTTTGTTGTTGATATGCATTGAGTGTATAGACTTACCCTTTAACCCACAGGAGAAACAGCATGACACTTTTGCACTTAAACGTTTAATCTGAAGTGACCTCTTGGTTTCATAAATACTAATTTTCAAATCTAGTCTGACAACTTCTTAGCTCCAAAACACCACATGTCCAGTCCAGTGTTTGTCTAGATTGACTTTACAATAATAGGGACTTGTGTTTATGTACAATCACCAGCCAGACAGCAGGGCATGATGATTGATTTACTTTTTTGTTGTTGTTCACACTATTATATTTCCTGTTCTAGTGAAATGCAGAAAGTCAGTCAACAGATGCTCAGTTTATTCTCGTATCAGGTAAAAGCAGGCAAAGCAAAAGACAAAATTTTCTGTTAAAACTCACTGTTATTTACTATACTTGATCACTAACTTGTGTATTGCAATTTCTCTTCATGTGTCTTGGTTGATTGCTTGAAGTAAATCCCATAAAGAAGCACTAGAAGAGATTAATGAAGAGTAACATCCTTGACTTAATTGGAATTGTTTGTATAGTGCTGAGAGAGAACTTAGAGGAGTTAGGTTGTTCCTTGCTTGAGTAGGTTGGGGAGGGGGAATTTCCAAGCAATGAGAAATTTATTTATAGCTTTACTATTCAGTTGAACTGAATCTTCATCCAAAAGTTTCTTAATCTCTAAGTGTAAATTGCATTTTCAGCTGGAATTAGCTCTTAAATACCACCAAGAATTGCATGTTCTGCCATGACGGTGTATTTTCTCTTAGAAAGCACAATGTACCCCAATTTCTTCCACAAACTACCTCACACAGTGTCAAAACTAATGCATCTGCTGTTGTGCATTTTACTATTTTACATTGTTTCTCAGATGAAGCCACAATGCTTCTACCTACCTCAGATGAGTTTTAAGTAAGTTTGAGGCCCTCATCTTCTTTCTGTAAGTGGAAGAAAATGTTTCAGATGCTGGACCTACAGTACAAGCTAATACAGATTAAAATTCTAAATATCAGTACTAGAAAATTATAAAAGTTAATGTGCTTAGCTCTGTGTGCATGTGGGTGATGTTAGGAAAAGGCTTTTACATCCGGTCATAAAGAGCTGGGGAATTACTTCTTTTTGGACTATGTAAGTCAACTTAAGCATCTTACTAAACTTTTTCTCATTGTGCACTGGAAGCCTCATAAGGCAGCATAGAAGCAGTTAACCTACTTTGGCATGATACATTTTCAGTATCACTGAGCCTAAATCGCTGCATTTGATTATGGGTAAGGCTGCTGTATGCCTTTTTCCTGTTTCTTAAAATGTTCCTGCAATTTTTTGAAGGATAATACAAACAATAAAGCTGATAACAGAAAACCACTATCTTTAAGTAATTACCAGGAAGTAAATATGATTTTGTAGGAAAACAACATTTTCATCCTACAGGTTTCTGTACTTGTTAGCAAAACATGTTTTTCTGAACGGAAGCATTCTTAATTAGAATCTAATTAGATGTGTAATCTTTTTATACTTTAAACAGTAGCATATGAGCAAAATGAGTTGGTGTGCTGATGGCAACCATTAAACAGCATTAAATGTACTGTAGCTGTCAGCTATTGTATTCAAGGAGACCTTTGCTTTTTTTCCAGAGATTAGCTTATAATTGAAGCCTGTGGGTTATATTTCTATCCAAAATACAGAAATTGCCATATATTTTGCTGAAACACTAATGTCATGCCAGAGGATAATTTGCTGTCTTTCAAGATAGTTGGAGCCCTCCCCTGATTAGCAAGTCAAAGTACTTATTCCAATAATGAAAGAACCTACATGGTCTTTATAGAATTTTTTCATCTGGACTGGTCACTTAAAAACATGTTAGAAGTAAACTGTTGACTTAATCCAAATGCACATTTCAAAACCTGTTTGGAGATCTACCATGAAAATTCATCTTTCAGTGTGTTTTAATGCAAATGAAAACAAAACAGTGTTTGTTTATGGATTTTTTTTTTTCCTTTATGGGAAAAAAAATGACACTTTCCTTTATTCTTTACTTTGCTTCGCTTGTATGGTGCCATTCACAGTGAGGTGGATATGTGACTGTCCCCTTTGTGTAAACATGTTAATTGCAGAGTTCTGGTGCTTTGTTATGTGATGTGTAGTGCTTGCTAGCACTTGGTATTCTGCAAGTAGGCCTGTGATTTCTATGTACTATATGCTTCAAATAACAAAAAAGTAGAGACAAAAACATTTCAGCATTCAAGTCTCAAATACTTTCTGAGTGTATTGTTGAAGAAATTCTAGGGCTGTAACTTTGAAGCTAGAAGGATGCTGTAGATTTCTTCTAACCCTTATCATAACTGTAGATAGATTTAACAGTGTTTCTGGGACTCTAGGTTATCCTAAACACATGGGGCATACACAATTGTACACTGTGCATCCCACTGTCAAAAATCCCAGTCCTCAAGGTCTAAAAGGTGCCATGGGCAAGATGTTTAATCCTGACCAGCTGGTGTGCAAGGCATCTGGGGAAATTATTCACAGAATTCCCTATGGGCATTTTGTGGGATGGTGGTGTAGAGAGAATGTGATATAATCAGAAGTACTTCAAAGTTATTTTCCATTTCTCTGCAGGGTCAACCTTTGATATAAAGGTACTTCTTGAAATGGTTTCTTTGTTTCCTTTTTCTGATAAGCGTACTGTTCCTGCTTGTTATCCTGTGGCAATTAAAGCTCATTTTCCTCCTAATTCTGTAACTTGTAAATGTTTTTACTTCTTTAATATATGGCTGCTTAGCTTCAACATGAGCAACATTCTTGCCAAATTTTTGTGATGAGTTGCTTGATTTAAACGTAGTGATACTGCTGTGATCCATTTTAGTTTAAAGGGAGGCTGGAATGAAACCTTTTAACATGGGCAGAAGTCTGAATAACACTTAACAGTTGCTTTTTGAAACAAATGAATTCTGAGAGCTCCAGGTAGAGAGTAGCTGGGCTGATACCATCATTTTACAGAGTGTGTCTGCATCTGAATTGCTGCCTCGTTCATGGCAGAACTGTGAACTCCAGAGCCTGGGCTGTGCTAGCATTGCTTTGCACACCAGGTTGTGCTGTGTGGTCCAGCACAGACACTCCCTAACTCTGTATCAGGCAAAGATAGTGTTAGTAGTGCCCTGTCCTATCACTAAGTGGGGAGGATGCTGGACTTGGCTTTCAACTCAAGCCCATGACTTAAAGGGAGACTGTAAATAACCTGCTATCAAACTGATGTACTTTCACAGTGATAACTGGGCACTATGAGAGATGTCAGCATTAGTGTGATCTCAGTAAAGCTCCTTCTATGGTGCCAACAAAGGAAGGGCAGCCGAAAGTTCATATTAAAGTCTGGAAGAGTGCAGTTATAGGTGCTC